CCCCCCCCCCCCCCCCCCCCCCCCCCCCCCCCCCCCCCCCCCCCCCCCCCCCCCCCCCCCCCCCGCGGTGCAGGTGGAGCCGTGTAACACGGACCTGCGACTCTTCAACCACGACGCCGCGGCAGACCTGCTGTGTCTAGCCGGCCCCTTGCTGGAGCTGCTGCCGGGCATTGTCACCGTGAGGGGTTCGGTCTTGTGCTTCAGCGAGCCGCCTGCCGCTCCATGTGAAGCGTGTTTCCTGATGCTTGTGATCTTGTCTCTGTTTCCGGCTGCTAGTCTCCGCCGTCCGCGCTGGCCTAGCTCGCCCATGCTCTCACGGTCCTTTGCCTTGCCGGCTGGCACCGTTTCCGTGTGACGAGAACAGACGCTGCCTCAGACTTTTCTTGCGACCAAGCACACCGCATCTCCTCTGGGTCCCCCGCCCCCGCTATGTGCCGCGCCCGAACCGCGAGCCGCCTACCGCGAGCCGTGAACGGTCAACGGCTTCTGTGCTGCCACTTTGGTTCCATTCAGTCTGCGGTCTGTGTCCGCAGCACTAGTCCCCATAGTACTCGGACTTGAAAGACAGCTGGCACTTGAGTCTCTCTGGTACCGAATGCACATGGCTAGCAGTTTCCACATCTAGATGCTTCAAGTCAGTCCATGTCCGGGACCAGTGTCCCGCCTCTTGGCCTGTCTGTTCGTCGGGCCTCAGAAACAGGAAACGAGCGGGAAGACACTTGGGAGCTGAAACCGCCTGTGGGAATTGCCCGGATTTCACCACGTTATTGCGAGCCCAAACCCTGGGTCGTCCATCACAGCGAGTTCCGTGGCTTGTGGGGTAATATTGCGGGACTCTATGGCGGGGTTGTTGTGCTCGCAGCGCAGGGGACGCTGAATGCCCGAGAAAGGGGTGAGGGGTGCCCTGTAATCCCCGTTCTGGTGGGCCCTACGGTGGTTGGTTTTCGCCCTGGACGGCAGTTGGGCGTCAACTGTCGATCTGCTCCTACAACGCCTTGCTGCGGTTTCACAGACCCAGTTCGGCCCATGGGAATCGTGCCTTTCTCAGTCAGCCTGCATCGCATCGAT